ATCCGAACGCACAACAGTATGCAGACAATATCATGTGATTTCAACGCTTTTGATAAAATTTCGCAAGGAAGCCAGGAGAAAATGGTGAGAAATGCGTTTCTTAGAAATTTTAGAGTCTGAATATATATTCAGCAATTAAGAGCTGAAGGCCTTTATACTCGTTACACCCATCAGAATTTTTCATGCGCCGGAAAAAAGACATAGTAAACAAGGATATAGGCATTTCACTTTTTTTTTAAATTATTTTTCAAGTTTTTTTTTTCAAAAATTATTGCAGTTTTTTATCAGCGTGGTGTGATAGGATCTGAATAAAAACTGGGGATTAGATATACTCGACAGTAATAAAAACATAAGCAAACTGAAAAACAATTTTTGTAGAAAAATTACCAGAAAAACGAACAAAAAAAATTGGCAAAAAAATTTCGAAAATTTAATTTTTTTTTGCAGTTTTATGCATATTTGAAGATTTTGATTCCAAAAAACGCTAAAATACTTAAAAAAATCAATGTTACTCGAGTAAAACTAAATTTATACCTTTTAAATTATGCTGTTGCAAGCTTTTAAGCCACTAAAATAAGACTACAAAAAATTTTGCGATTTTTTAAATGTTGTTCGAATCACGATTGAAAGCGCTTTAATATGATCACTCAACCCACTCCGATGATTATTTGTGGTATCTGATTTTGCGTGGAAAGAAAAAACAAACACACCCGAATACAAAGTTCCACTCCATTTTCAAGGTCAGAACAAAAACAAAATAACCAGCCAGTAGATCGAATAGCTAATTAACATTAGAAGCTATAGTTTAACAGCCCATAGTTGTTATATGGCTGCAGTGTGCAGTCCGTTAGTTTGTGCCCTATAATTTTTGGTCGTATATAGCTTTCCAATTGAATTTAACTTTGTATCCAACTCAAATTGAAAACCTTCCGACAACCAAATTAATAAAAACCGACGTACTTGCTTTATGTAAAAAATATAGATAATTCGTTCGATTCGCAATATTACCCGGCTGTTCTTTTATTTCAATATTATATTATATATTTATTTCAAAGCAGTTTACTTGAAAATATAAATAGCTATTATTGTTCCCATCGCTTCAAGAAGTGGGAAGGAACCATGGCGTATGTTTGGATTTACTTCCAGCTGACTTTGACTACCTTAAAAAAGCTCAAGTGTGGTATTATACTCAATAAGTAGAAATTCGGATTCTTCAACAAAATCAAAATAATTACTTCAGTTTCGAGAAAAACTGGTCTGAATCAACAAAAAAAAATAAAATTTTAATCGACAACTTTCGCATTTAAAAAAAATTTATCGACAAAACAACCTCAACACAACAAGCTACTAACGGAATAAAATCTCAATCAAAACGTAAAGAAAACACATTTAATGGCACAAAACTAAATCCGATCTTGACAGCTATATCCTTACGTATTGCAAAAACTGAAATTTCGTTAAAAGGTACAAATTCACATCAGCTTAATCGTTGAATTAGTTCCTTACAGGGGTCGCAATTCTTTACTAGTTACTATACGTGGGTTAGTTAATACATATATGCGAAGCTGAGCTTCGCTCTATTTGCAATACAATTGGATCTAAAAAAAGAATGCAGATAATTGTGAAAAAAAAACATGCCAAGACAAAATAATGCAAAATTAGCTTCGGAACAAAAATTACTAAGCGGCAGCAAAGCCAAAAACACCTGATCAGAAATTCTTCGTCCCGAAAAAAAACGTACACAAAATGAAAACAAACAAAAAATTTTAAATTCTCCCTTCCCCTCAGTACGTACGCACGCACACGAAAGTTTTTTTTTTAGCTCACGGCACAAAAAGAGGCTACTAAGCCGATATGAAATAAGACGAAAGCTATTAACCCAAATTAAAACAAAATAGCCGGTTACTGCGCAAGTAGCACAGAATGTTCCGACCATAGCCTTTAGAAAACTACGGTTAAGAATGTTTTTTTTTTCCAAATTAGCGTAGTTTTATCCTAGTTTTATCCTTGTGAAACTTAAATTTTTTTTTTAAAAAAATCAAGTTTTCGGTTCCTAAATTAAAGCTAGAAAACTTCAAAAACTAGTTTAACTTGCTTAAAATTAAGTTTTAATGTTTTATATTAGGCATAATTCAGCTTTCAAGCCTGCTCGTTTGCTTTTTTTGCTCGAAGTAAGCAGAAAAATCAAAAATTTCGAACCGGTTTTTCTTGACATTGTGAAAACTTTTTGGAAACTTTTTAATGTGGTCCGAGTACGAGTCAGACTAAACGGGCTTTAATATGATATATCACACAAACCAGTCCGATCATTTGTTGTGGTACCTGATTTTGCGTGAAAACAAAAAACTAAAACACACCCGAATACAAAGTTCCTCCCCATTTTGAATGGTCAGAACAAATATGAAACATAAATTCAAATTCTAACAAACCGAGTTGCTAAAATTTTAAACAAAAAAGAGCAAATTTCGAATAAGCGAGATGCATAAAATATGTGTTGCAACAGGAAAGCCCAGTAGATGAATGAGTCTAGTACCCGATTGCTGTCAAATAGATCCTATCTTCAAAATTACACTTACTTTTAGCCAGAAGCAAGGACTATAAATCAACACCGAGCATGCTATGAACAAAAAATGCAACTTATATATTTTCGCTAAAAACAAGAACTGTAAATAACTAGCGAGTATATTGCAAAGGACATAAATAAATGAAAAAATACTTCCGCGAAAAGTAAGACATGTATCTACAGCGAGTATGATATAAATGGAAGAAGATGAGAAGGAAAAACACGTCAATTAATTGGACTTATTTTACTTCGAAAAAAAAATGATGCTTTACCCACTATCTCAACTCGTCTTGCCCCACTCCTAACTAACTTCAACTTCTTTCATTGAATCTTAACAGAGCGAAGATGCAATTAAAACACACCAAATTGGAAATATGTTTCAATCGAGCCACGGCAAAGAAAAACTTTTTCGAGCTAAATTTGAAACTGTCAATTGATGAAACGAAACCTTAAATTTTTTTTTTCACATATAACCTATTTTCAGACACAGAGGCGAAATTCAACTTCGCATACACAAGCAAAAAATATGACCGATAACGCTACTGGGATAAACTGAATGAGTAAAACTTTGGGTCTACAAAATTTCTTCCGTGACGCAAGCCAATTAGCAGTAACAGTGAATTTGAAAAAGAAAGAAAGTTATCAATTGCACATGCCTCAGCTTATAGAGCTGACGCATTTTAGCTAGTATACAAAAAAAGTCATTGAAAACATCCGACCCTGCCCATTTTCGTATCCTCTTATTTTCTTGCGGGTCTCCTTCCCTACCTCTACGCTACAGATCCATGATACCTTGAAAGTAAAGTGCTATTAGTAATATAATAGTCTGTGTTAATATCCTTAGCATTGGCTGTACCTAATAGCTGGTTATTGATCAAAATAAACACTTTCAAAATGAAGACATTTTTTCGCAAACAATATTTGCGTCGCAACAATATTTGCCACTTCGCTTGGAAAAAAGAGAGAATTTATAGTATAACACAAGCTCTGCTTGTGTAAATAATAGCCCACAGACAGTGAAGGCTAAGCGAAAAAAAACACTGATCTTTTATGAGATTTTTTTGTCTTCAATCTCTCAGAACAGTTTAAATCACCTCAGTGCTCTTTAGCCTTTGAAGATCTTTTGCGGTAGACAATTTATTGACAAGCCCATCGAACATAAAAAACCATATCAAAAGGAAACTTTTTTGATTCCGCTGGGAAAACTGAAAGCTTAAGATTTGAAACCATGTTTACTATCATGAAGAGCAGGGGCGGATCTGGGATTTTCTCGAGGGGAGGGGGCGGAATTTCGAAAAAAAATTGTCGACCTTTTTTTTAAGGTCGACCAAATTGATTTCCGCCCAAACGCTACAAAGACCGTTTCGGCCAAAATTTCAGCGCCGCATGCAAAATTTTGAAAAAAAAACAGGCCAAAAATGCGTTTTTAGGGAAATTTTGACCAAAAAATTGCGTTTTTCCGGCGCGCGCTACCCCCTCAAAGTTTTATATATTGGCGCCCAAGGCGCCTTCAGAAAAAATTTAGTGTCCGCCATCAAACATAAATATCTCAAAATAGTACAAAAGGGTGACCCTTTGGGTCGGCAGGAGTTCGAATCCCTGAGGGAGGGAGGGAGGGAGGGAGGGGGGGGGGGGGGGTGGACGCTCTCTCCCTAAATCCGTCTTTGCTGAAGAGTTGTCATTCGAGTTCACGTATTGCTTACCAAGTTTTCAAAATTAAGTTTATACCGTTTCTCCAGGCCAAAAACTGCACAAAAAAAACTGAAAATGCACTTCCTTCATAGGCCCGTTCCTTATTCGGATTAATTATAATCGGCTTTTTTATTAGCTCCGGCCCAGCTCACTCTATTCAACCTTGAACCTTTTTCCTTAGGGAGTGGGATGACATCCGTTTTGCCGCAGTCTGTCCCACTTTGAGGAGGCGGATGACGGTGGGACTCCTCTACCCATGACCTAATCGGGATCCGAACTCGCGACCTTTGCATTACAGGCCTCGCGTCGTGCCCACTCGGCCACGGCTGCTCGTCTTTGTAGGCTTGATCAACTGTCAAATGTTTCCATGCACAGGATGAACAGTTATCTTCGATCAACTAGATTTTTCGTGAGAAAAGAACGTTGCGGAGAAAATCAAATTCAGAGAAAACATTATGATTGAAGGAGCTTCATTGCACTAGATTAGTTTATTAACAAACCACTGATATCGCAGCAAGACAACTTTGACATCTGTTGAAGCGGTGGCCAGTCAATAAGCAGAATGGTCTAAGAGCAGAATGGGTCCAAGAGCAGAAAAACAAACAAATGTATATTAATTTTTACAGGCTAATCGGTAAATTAAGTATAATAATTGTCAAACTTACCAAAGAACGAATATTTTATGCATAATTTGAGTAATTTAATCAAGATTTTTTTTTTAATTCAATCAAAAATTTTAATGAAATTATTCATTTCATGCATTATTTATTCATTTTCTTGGTATTTTTGACGATTCTAATAATTGTGTAATCAATTAGCCCATATAAACCAATAAGAATTAATATTTTTCTGTTTTTCTGCTCTTGGACCCATTCTTGCACTTGAACTATTTTGCTTATTGCTCCGCCTCCTGTTGAAGCATATGCAGTTTCAATTGTATTTGAGCCAGTACATTACCATTAGACTGCAAGATATCAAAGGTTAGCTGAAAATCTAACCATAAAAGTGTTTCAATTACATTTTACAATTGAAGGACACTGAATGTCATTTGACAGACAAAATTTGTACTTATTCAGGTACTCCATTCGTTTTCTTAATATAAGTAAATTTATATACATTTCACTTTAAAGAGGAATGCTAGCTAAGCACAGGAATTAAATACTAATTTATCTACCTTATAAAACGGAGAATCGCGCTTGTACTACATCTTATTTTGATCAACGAATCGTCCAAGAAATGGTTTTTTATGATGAATGAAAGTTGATCTCTTGAGAACAACCAATCGTACAACCCAGATCCGTTAAGTAGCTATAATCAATCAGTCAAGTTTAAATGCTTATAAGCAAATATTGCAGAAGCCGAATATACTTTGGCAAATTTTGAGTTTATACATCCCCATTGGGCGACATCCTTTGCTTAACTCCCGACGACTCGACTGGTTCATTTTCCCCGTCACTGTCCGAGTACACCGGGATGTCGTCTCCCGTTGGTTGTGCAAACAGTGGTCGCTCTTCTCCTTCATCCTCTTCGTCCCCTTCCCCCGCAGGCCACGTGGCATAGGGGGGACATGGGGATCTAGGAATGGGTCCTCCTGGTCTACTGTCAGAGCGTGAAGACGGCCCGTCGACTGAGGTAACGAAAATTGATGGGTTACCGTCGTCTTCGGGAAGAATTTCTACAACTTGGCCTGAAATAATAACAATCTATTAAGCTATGGCAATAGTGTTGCACACAGCGCAGATTGCAATGCAAATAGCGCAGGATGTTACATCCTGGGATAAATATTTTGAATCAGTTAAAAGATAAGGAACAATTTCCTTTCCCGAATTTTGTACCCTTTTCACGGCACTTGACAGACATGGGATTCAATTCGATAATAACTCTAAGACTGAGTCATGTTCGCCAAAATCATCTTAAAAAGTGGTAAAATTAAAAACTGTTTCACGTTCTCACATCTTCACTATGGTAAATTTACCTGGAAAGTTAATTTTCATCGGAATCCGAATCACGGCCAGTATAACTCAATCAATGAATCAATCAATGACCAATATAATCACTGGTTGAACAACTGCTTGAACCAATTGTTTAACAACTGGTTGAACCAATTAGTTTAAAAAAATGGTTTGTTGAACTGATTCAATCAATTATTAATTGGTTAGACCGATTTCGTTAAATACAGGTCTTTTTTAACCAATTAAAACTGGACCATAGAATAGCTTTCAAGAGTGCATTTTGAATCTAAGTAAGGCCCGGGAAGCTTTTTTTTTCAACGCCACTCCAAACCTTCAGTCGTGCTCTATCGATTGATAATTAGCAATTTTATATAATTTGAGGTTCAACCGTATAAGCCTCCCCCAATCAATTTACGGAGGGGGGGGGGGGGGGGAAGAGAAAATATGGTTTTTAGATGAATTAACTTTGAGAAAAGCCTAGATTCATTCAAAATTAAGCGTTTTACCAAAAAAAAATTGAATTGAAACATTAATCTAAGCAATTACCAGTACACAATTGCGTCTCGCACACATAAATGTAGAAACTAATTTCATTTGAGCGATATCATGAAATGTATACAGAATCAATTTTCAGATTTACTTTCACTAGCGAACTTGACTGAGCGTTAGTGTTATTATATGCTTGGGAAGGGCATTCTACGGTAGGTCATTAAGAAGAGGCGGAGAGATAGTACGGTTGATCCCAATTTGATAACGTCCGCCAAACTTCCGGCTCCGAATTCTTTTAACGCTTGCATCATTAATTATAAAACAGTAGGTATTTATAATTTGTTTTATCAATGTTTATTAGCATAATTGCGTAAACCGATTTGGTTAATAATATTTTAATTGGTTAATGGTTTTAAAAAAATGGTTTTACTTTTTTAACTGGACATCACTGATCACGGCTGATAAGGCTTTAAGATGATACGTTCGAGTTTCATAGAAAATATATGGCGTTAGAGCTTTTTTCAAGGATGGCATTAACGCATTTGAACTTCCAGAACAATTTATTATTGACCCTTTTTTTGATTAAGTTAACTCAAAGTGAGAGAATTGGACCAATACAGTGGAAACTCTAAAAATCAAAATTCACGTTCGAAACTAGAAGTCATTCACGTTTTTTCGCACCATTTACACTATTGCAGTTACAGCGCGTAATCTGCCGTTTTTTCAGCAATGAATTTGAAATGAATTTTAAAAGTGACATTCATAAGTGCGCTAATATGTATGAATGTTCTTCTACATATTAGAGCATTTAAAATCTTTTCATTGAAAAACGAAAAAAAAATCAAGTTTATAAGCACTTAGAGACAACCAAAACGCTGCGACACCTAATCATCCCTTACTTGTTTAGAATTATAGTTCCATTAACTTTGAGGCAGATAAGATCATTTTCACCTGGTTGGCTGCAGTGATGAGCGAAAGCAGTTAGCAGAAGCATAGTGTCCAAATTGGGATGCGAAGAGGAGCTTGATGAGGTCGTATTAATATTTGCACTTTGTGGTTCGAAGGCTACTGGGTTCGCATAAGCTCCACCTCGAGCAGCCGCGATGCTAGTCGCCGACACCATTTTTCTGCTGGATGATGGCGAGGATGATATTTTCATGGCGGATAAGTCCAGTTCCGGTGCAGGGTGAGGTGGGTCCTCATAGCACGCTTCCCAGCCGACAGGCGGCGACGGAGGAGGAGACACTAGGAACATCTTGTCCGACTGTGGTACTTCCAGAAAGTCTGGCTCATTCATATTTGGCAAAGGCTAAACATCAATTGAATTTCGTGAGAGCTGAAGAAAAAGCACAAATGATACAGCAAATTCTTTGAAAAACGAGTATTCTCTTTTTTCTGGATTTCTTATTTGAGGTTAAATTACTTCTCAATTAGTTACTGAACGGAAGATTCGATTTCCATACACAAGTCGAAGTTACAATGACTGCCGATTCATGCTCCACAAGGATACTTTCAACATCTCGAAAAAATACTCATCGTCCAATACAGATTCACTTGCTGTACTTACTGAAGTAGATGAGTCACTGGACGCATGAGAAGAGCAGAAATGCGAAAAAATGCACTATAGTTAAGAGAACTTAGGAATGTTTTGAGTCATTTTGGACACACGCGCAAAGCAGCGCTTCATAACGCTTGTGATACAAGGCAAGCAAGGCATTGCAAGCTAGCAAATAAAAAATGAGACGGAAATCACGACTTCGAAAAAAAGGAATATATTTATTTTCTAATACTTCTTCAATTTCAGAAAAGCCATCGAGAAACTCAAACAGCAGCACTGAGGAAGCTTTTATCTACCGAGCGGATTACTCAGCCAACAATACTTGGGTACACGCCACGCCCTCCTAGCCGAAGAAATTGTTTTCGTAATTTTTTCGAGCTATTAAGTTTCAAAACTTGAAGCGTTTACACCCCCAACGCGTGAAAAAAGGTCTAGCTCCCGACTACCAGTCACTTGCTCTCTCGATGCACAACGAAATAGCTCAAACCTAACGAGAACAAAGACGAAATTTTTTTTTAATTAGGTAAAAATCGCGCAACCGACAAAACTGACATCAATTTCAATTTTATTTTAGAAACAGAAAACTTCGGTGTGTATAAAACCCTTACAAATTATATTCATTAAGCTCAAAATTGATTTGAAAAAGCAAAAGAAGATATTGAAATGGTTAATGCGATAAAACACGGCAAGTCAGCCGACGAAAATAGAAACGAAATCCAAAATATGCCAAAAAAATCAACTTACTCAGTTAAACATGTTTTTGCAATTGTAGTTCTAGATACAGCAATACTGCACATTCTGGTCCGGGTCGGTAGACCCATGCGTTTTTATTTGAGTTCACATGTGAATAAATTATCTTATCAATTCATATGTGCTTTGTTTGCTCCAACATGTTTAAATGAATTGAATACAATGCCTACTAAAGCTGAAGATAAACCCCATTTCAGCGATCATGTGAAGTTGTTTAGAGCGATTTGAGGTAGCAATGCATACGCTTTAATAAAGTGATATAGCTAATTGAAAACTACCAATTAGAAAGTACAAGTCCAAAAAAGTAAAAACCGAGTTAGGCCTTGATTTCTTTAAAAAACTAAAAATATCCCTAACACTCACTTGGTCGGCCAGGTACACATTGGTCTCTGATCCACATATCTGAGATTGATGGAGGTCCACTTTAGCGCAGATGGCCTCAAAGCCCACTGGAAAGTTCACCCGCACCCTGCGGAAACTCTTCAGATAGTTGAAAGTCACTTCATTTGGAGATGACTCACAGAAATTGCGAAACAAATTTTCGAATTCCACCTAAATTTGAATTTTTTATTAGAAAAAGAAATTTTCAAGGAAATTTTCTATTAGACCTGAAAAAGATAATGAATCTCTATCCCAAAATCGGAAGTTTACGAAAACTTTTCTTTGAGTGCTTTCGACCAAAAATATCGATGAGCAATTCAGACCAATTATTACCATATTATAAAACTAACACATCACAGCGTCAAATTGAATCACTAAGTCGTATACATAATTCGGCTTTCTTACTTTCTTGTCTTCTGATTCAAAAACTTCTTGAGCAACATTTTGAGCCATTAAAGATATGGGATTGGTTCGTAGGTAATCTGCCAGTTCATCTAACGTCCATGACTCCAGATTATTGTCTCCTTGACCTTGAATACTTCGAAGTTGACCAGCATTTTCCTTAATTATAAACAAAACAATTATATTCAAAGATAAAATTCATTAATATTTTTTTTCACACCGTTTTTAAGAAATGTCACAAAAAATCGTAATCACATTGTAACATTTGTACTTAGCAGACATACTGGGCACTAGCAATGTTTTTTTACCGTTATTGCCTGTACTTCAGCATCAAACTCATCTTCATCGCAATCCTGCATCTTCTCAACTGAAAAAAGCCAACGAACAATATGGTAAGGCTAACTGAACCAAGAAAAACTTAACAAGGAAAAAGAAATTTCAAAAAAATCACAGGCAAAAAATTTACCTTGCAAATAAAAAAAAATTGCCCTGAAACCTGCATCGAGGAGAGACGGTATTAGAAATAAATTAACAGTAAACTTGGGCGAGCTCTACATTGGCCATTCACCATCTGTATCAGTACAGCCACAATACCAATGTGGGAAATATCACGTGTAACATTGGCCCGGAGGTACATACCGACGGAAAATAAAGCTAGGTTATGAAACGACTGGCTAGCGTATTACAGCTTCACGTGCTTTTAACCATCTCTACCAAAGCCAGTTCTATGTGTGGTCCATTAACATCGGGTCGACAAAGTCATTACTATTTAAGGCCTCGGCCAGATCACGCAATTTAACTTAGTTACATGCAAAAATAATGAGCTTGTGCCCTCCCCCGGCTTGGCACAGTCGAACCTGCCGAGGCACTAGAAAAAGGATTCTGGAATTTTTAAATTTTCGATTCAAATTCAATTTACAAGATGTCACTAAAGTTATATTATTATTCTTATTATTAAAAGGAATTTATGTAACGAAGGTTACAAAAGGGTTTCCCTCAGATACAAATTTACAGAAAAACGGCAACCGTTCTTAGTAGTCACAAGCTAGCTTCCAGGAGCAGGAAACTTTCTCATTGTATTTCTCACTTAAGACGCACCAGAGAAAACTAATAAGTTTTTGGGATTGAAGAAATCTATCGCTGCAGGAAGTTCGTTCACCAGTCGCGGTGCACGACACCAGAAATTGGTATCTCCTTTTGATAGACGAGAACGCTCAGCATTGAATTCAAGTTTATTTTGTCTGAAGTTCATTCTGTAGGCCAGATGTGCAGAAGAATCAAAATCAAAGCAACCAGCAAAAAGTTTTGACAGCATGAGCAAATCCGTGAGTTGCAAATGAAGCGAAACAGGGAGAAGGTTGAGAAATAACAGACACTCCTTGTAATTTTCACAATGTGGGAGAATCCACCTCGTTACACGCTTCTGAACTGCTTCGAGATTTCTCCTTGACCGGGCCGAGGCGTGTAACATGAGTAAGACCTCTCTTCGAGAGTGGAAATGTCATCGGTGTGGAACTGGGATCGTAATGTTTTAAAGATCTTTGTAACATTCGCCCAAATAGTACACAGCGACGGAGCGTAGAAAAAGTACCTATTAACGACTGGCAGGCGTCAGTTACCTTAATCCTACTCGTTTTTCACCGTCTCGACCTTGCCAGTTGATTTTCTGGTCTGTTTAGGGCTAAGTAAAAAGTTACTATTTTTAGGCCATCAGTCAATCGACTTTTGATCAGCTTTCGTTTACATGCGAACACAACCACATAGCTGAGTCTCGGATCCTCAGACTACGTGATTGCCATTAAAAACACGGCTCGAACAACCTATTTTAATATGTTTTTGTATGACAGTTCTATATTAAATCCATTGGAGATGGATTGACCCTTTCCTCTTTCTAGCTACTCATATTCTAAAATATCAAAATATACCGGTGTTAATTTAAAGTTTCACGACATCCAAGTAGCTATACAGTCAGTTTTATACAGTCCCTTCACATAAAACAGTCTCTGGGGGACCAAGCCTCCGCTCCCGTGATATTCCTGCGATAACGCTCTTATCTCTTCCAATTTGTGTCCCGGGAGGGTTTCGTGGTATATTTCTTCCCCACTGAAGCTTCCTTCTCCACTAATATCCGCTGATAAGGGTCTTATCGTGCTTTGTTGCCACGATAAGAGGCTTTGTGTTTCTCGTCTCTTGTGCGACCGTTTTTCACAATATTTGTCGTTGTTCTGCTTTTCGTCATTTTTCGTCAAAATGGCCGTCTTTTTTGTATTTCTCAGAAATATTCACTTTTCAATCGAAATTTTGAAAATAAAAATTTCGGAATATTTCTACCCTCATTCGCAATACTTTTTCGTTAATAAGGCCTTTATTCGTTCTTTTTCGTGTCGCCGGAAGGTTGCGCTGTGCCATCTGGCAGAATGGCACATACTCCCCGGACAAGTCCCCATCAATGTCCCTATTGATTGCATAACACCGGGTCATCGTCATGTAGTGTTCCAGTTCTCTGTAATCAATCTTACAAATCGCATAAGAAAATGAAATTTATCTACTCCACCTCAACTCACTACGTGTTCACAAATGGCATCGTACTACATTTCACTGCCTTTCAACATTTTCACAAAATTTGCACCATGAGGAGTGTCCTAGATAAAATTTCTTTTCTGACTACTTACATCGTCTTGCCATAAAACTTCTTTTCGTTCTTTGTGATTAAAAAGTGGGACGTGGCACGGCCACGCACCCGTTAAAATTAACTTAACGTCACTCACCAAGTATAATCAGTTATTTATGCAGTCCTTTCAATATTAAAACTAAGAAACTCTGTGGCTACCCCCACTCCCCGGACAAAAATATCCATCGACGTCCCCGTCGATCGCCCAAAGTCTAGGAGATCGAGGTTGGATTGTGGAACACGTAGAGGACCATCTGGGGCGACCCAGTTGGACTCGGTATTGTCATGACTGATGTATTTGATGCCGTCTTTATCGACGTCCTGAATCGTCAGGATCGTCTCTTTTGGATCTGTCGGCAGATCATGGAGCCATTCGAGTACGCGCAAGTTCGTTAGTTCTTGCTCATGAGTCTGTTTCGCTTCTGGTTCTGATCGATCGTCGATCCAACCTTAATCCATATCATTCACCAAGTCGATTTCTTCTAGTATCGCCACTTCGTCCAGTCCCACTAGCGAGTCCATGACATCACTTACAACTATCCTGTCTACAACGAAATCCTCGCCGTACGGATTCTATTTCTTCTCGTTTTTTCCTCTCTTGCTCTGGCGTGTTTCCATAGTGAGAGGAAAGTCAGGCTGTATTCCTTTGTCAATTTCGATTTGTTCCGGGCAGTCCCAGTCTTCCTCGGCATAAGGTAGAGTTTCATCGTCCACCTCTACTCGCTCGGTCAACTCGAGGTCCAGTGGTAGGTCGCAATCGTCCATCAGCTCATTCCCGTCGTTTTTGTCGCGAGTACCCCTTTCATTCACTTCACAAGCAGGGTCCACTATCAAATAGTCTCCTTCTTGCATGTCCGCTGGGATGCACCAGTCCTCTGACGAGGCATTGTGCGGTTTGATATTTTCGTAATGAGCTGCTCTTCCAGTGCTCAATCGATAAAAACGACCCCCTTGGTGCACCTCTGTTATCTGAAACGGACCACGCCATTTCTTTAATAATTTCTAGGTTCCTTTTGGTGGAACCACTTCCTGGAACACCCAGACGTAGTCGCCAACTGAGTAGGCTTTCGCATCGGCTGTCCTTTTATCAAACCTCCTCTTTTGTCTAATTTGCGCCTGTTGCGTGTTCCTCCTGCATAAGTCATTGAGGTCCTGTTGTCTTCTAATAACATCCCGCACGTACGTTTGCGGTGCTGTCCTCTTCCCCTCATATTCAGGGTAGAAAAACGTCAACGGGAGCGCTTTTTCATGACCCGTTTACATCATGTGCGGACTTATTCCCGTGGTGGAATGCTCCGTGCTGTTGTAAGCACCCATCACTTGCGGCAAGTGCTTGTCCCAGTCATCCATGTAACGCGAGCAGAAGACTCTCAGCATGGATACCAGTGGGCGATTTTGCCTCTCGACTAGGCCATTCGTTTGCGGGTGATAAGTGGTCGAGTGGGCCTGCGCTACCTGCGACCTTTTCATTAACTCCTTCGTGAGATCACCCACGAATGCTTTGCCATTGTCCGATTGGAACGTGATGGGGCAGCCATGCCTCGCTATCCACACATTTATCAAATGATCGCATGTTTCTTCCGCCGATGCTGTCATGTAGGGTGCTGCCTCCGCATACTTCGTAAAATGGTCGATCATTACCAGCACCTGATTATAGCCCGTTGCTGTCATGCAGATTTTCTGATGATCAATTTGCACCACTTCGTTGAAACCTGACGACTCTATTGACTGTAGGGGGAACCTTAGTTTCCTGGGATCCTTCGCCTGCTGACATGACAGGCATGCGGCGATCCACTTCTCTCAAGCCTTCTTCAATCCCGGCCATTCGAATCGTTTCTGTATCCTGTTATACACTTTGTCCACGCCTTGATGGCCCATCTGATCATGTGAGCGAAAGAGCAATTCGGTCTGGTACAACTGTGGTAACACTATTGAATTGTATTTATAGAGGACCTTGTCCTCCTCTTTTCGTTTTCAGGCTACGATTCCGTCCTTGTTCAGGTACAACAAGTCGTTTCGCTTCAGGTAAATTGCTTCAAGATCTTGTAGCTGTCTTCTTCCAAACCTCCCTTGCCAGGTGCTCCATTCTCGATCCATCTCTTCAGACTGCTCGTCATTCTATCATTTCGTTGAGCCCTTAGGAGATCCGACAGCCTGTACCTGGCTTTCAAATAGGTCTTTACCACGTTCATTTGCCCACTCATTATCTCCGGAGCATGAGCATCGTCCATCAACTTGACACACCATATCTTTTTCAAAGGCGTCGCTTCCTGCACAGATGGTTCCAGATTGGTACGGACGACCATGTGGCAGCAATCTGGTTGGGCGTTTCGAAACTGCTATCAGCTCGAGCTCGTCTGCGGCATTATCTACCACAGTGCCCTCTTCATCTGAGGTGTATCTGTCCCTGTCTGGATCCTGATGCGTTTCTCGGTCCAGCCCACGCTGCTTCCAGTCTACCAATAAGGAGTGGATTGCGATCTCTGACATATCGGAATTGGAAGTTGTTTCAGATGTGTTGTCCCAGGACTGGGGCCTCGAGTCAACACTTGAGTCGACTGATTTCCCAACATCATATTCCAAGTTGTCTGAGATGTTTCTCGACTCCCCGGACAAAACTCTGTCCATCGGTCGCTTCAAACCCGACTCCCCGGACAAAATTCTACCCCTAGGTGGTCTCGTCAACCTCTCCCCGGACAAGTTGTCCTGCACGGGCTC